CTTGAGACACAACTGGTTTATGGAGCTTGGTCTTGCAGACTTGAGAGTTATAACTCACTCATATTTCTGAGTTACAGAGCAGTCATCATCTGCTTGTTCAGGAAATGAACTTACACTTCAACATCAAGGATAAGGCAGACATGAGAGAGCTCTTGCCATCAACAAATGCTTTTGAGTGGCGCCTGGGTGGCTCAGTTGTTAAGCGTCTGCCTTCAGCTCAGGTCATGATCCTAGGGTCCTGGGATGGAGCCCCCGCATCGGGCTCCCTGCTCAGTGGGAAGCCTACTTCTCCCTCTCCCAACCGCCCACCCCGCCCCGCTTGTGTTCCCTCTCTCGCTGTGTCTCTCTCTGTCAAATGACTAAATAAAATCTTTAAAACAACAACAACAACAACAAAATGCTTTTGAAAGCCAAAGAGTTATGTGAGAAGCAACCTGAGTTTGCCTCCGCAAAGCATCACACAGCAGGGTCCCTCCGAGAGCAGGCCTAGGGACCAAATCCCCAGACCACATCCTTCTCAGATCCCTGGATCTTGCTAAGCTCCTTAAATGTCTGAGGCCCAAACGTTCAAATTCCTCAAGCTGCTGGAAGTAAATTTCAATAGTACAAATTTGGGGACTTTTTTTTTAAAGGCAAAGATATAGATTCTTATTTTCCACAATTAATTGAACATTACTTCTCCAACCTCTGCGGCAGAGAAAACACTTGATCAAAATGATTTGTGTGTGATGCATCCCAGAGCCCTCAGAGGGCCGCTTAGCACTCCCATTCCTTGGCTGGCATGGTCCACTGTCCTGGGCAGCAGGGCAGTGTGCAGAGCAGAAAGGGAAGGGTCTGGTTTCACAGTCTGGTATCCCCAACCCCACAGAGACCAGGCTAGAGGTTTTTACATCCGTTACTAACACAAGCTTTGTAGCTTAAAGCAAACAGATCTGCGCCGAGATAGGGAGACAGTGGCCTTAACTCCTCCAGGCTATCATGAGATGCTTCCAGGGACATCAGTGATGCAGTAAAGAGGCTCCCTGAGAACTAGCGAGGCTGTATCCTCTCAGCCCCTGCACTGTATGGGAGGGAGGGCTGGAATCTGCAACGTCTTCTATAATCCCTATCCTCAGACACCTGGCTGTCCCCTCCCTGCTCTTCCAGGACTCACCAAGGCGAGATCTGTTAGAGGGACACCTGCTACCACCTGTCATCACAGCAGGTCCCAGCCCCTCAAGGATCAAGGTGCACAGGGACCAGGCTGGTTACCCCCAGGGAAGGGCCACCTTCCCATTAAACCTGGGAATCTAATATGAGCTTGAACTCCCCATCCCCTCACTCACTCCACTGCATGTTCCTCAGTGAGCAGAGGTGGGTCTTGGAACAGCAGGTTCCATGTGGCTGAAGGAAGTGGCCAGAGACAACCACGGTGTTAGAGGCCCGGCTCATTCAGCAGCAGCTGCATGTATAGGACAGCAATCCCGTATCTGAAACCGTTGGGGCCAGAGGAGTTTCAGAATTCAGATTTTTTTTTTCATTTTAGAAAGCTAATATAACACCCCAGCAGAGTATGCGGAAGCATCCTATAAACTCATTAGTATTTTTGGTACCCAAACATGAATATTCATACTGATCTTCTATCAGGTCAATCAAATTAGTTATGAAGAGAAATCCAGAGTCCTTAAGGATGGAGGATTTGGCACCATCTGGTTTACTTTCCTCCAGGAGATACTGAAATTCACTCAGAGACAAAGACCCACAGTGGGGAACAGACAAGTGAGACAACTGTCAAATTCCCAGTAGACATTCCCTGACTCAGGAGGCCCAGGGGACAGATCGGCAAAGATGGGATCAGGCTGATTGAAAGAATCTCTGACACAGTAAATGCCTTCTCAGCTGAGCTTCCCTGTCCTGAGAATCCAGAGACAAATGCTTGCATAGAGCCCTCCATATTTAGAAATTTGGTCTCCAGGACTCAGGCACCTGGCTCCAAGGATACAACACAGATCCAGTCATGGGCCATAGCAGGACCCACCTCGGCAGAAGCAGACTGGTTTTCTCAGAGCCCTGACCCCTGTGTGCCAGATGTTAGCTCCACAGGGTGCAGGGCAAATCATGCTTTGATCTTGATGCCTTTGAGAAACAGAAAGAACATCTTTTAGCTACTATCTTTCCTCTGCCCCTTTAAATGCCCACATGCCCAGGAGCCACCTCCCACCCTGTTCTCTTCTCACTCTGTGCCTGTTCCCTGGCTAACTGTATCCACTCCCATCACCTCACCTGCCTTTATGCCCTTGACTCCCACAGCTCCTAGTTTCACCCCCCTCCCCAACTGCAACTTACATTTAAAAAAAGATTTTATTATTGAAGTACAGTTGACATACAATGTTATATTAGTTTCAAATGCACAACATAGTCATTCAACAATTCTGTACATTATGCTATGCTCACCACAGTAAGTAGAGTTACCATCTGTCACCATATGACATTATTATAATCGATATTAACTATATTCCCTATGCTGTACTTTTCTTTCATCTCTGTGACTTACTTATTTCATAACTGAAAGTTTGTACCTCTTCATCCCCATCACCTATTTTGCCCATCCCCCCACACCCTGTGGCAACCACCAGTTTGTTCTCTGCATTTACAAGTCTGTTTCTGGTTTTGTTTATTTTGTTTTTTCAGATTCTACATATAAGTGAAATCATATTGCCCTTCTTCGTCTGACTTATTTCACTTCACATGATACCCTCTAGGTCCAGCCATGTCACAAATAGCAAGATGACTTTTTTATGGCCGAGTAATATTCCATTATGTATATGTACATCTTTTTATCCACTCATCTACTGATGGACACTTAGGTTGCTTCCATATCTTGGCGATTATAAATAATGCTGCAATGAACGTAAGGGTGCACCTATCTTTTCCAATTAGTGTTTTCATTTTCTTTGGGTAACTTTCCAGTAGTGGAATTTCTGGATCATATGGTATGTCTATTTTAATTTTTGGACAAAATTCCGTCCTGTTTTTCATGGTCTAACACATTTTTAACTGCCTCTTGGGCATCTCCAGGCTGCCTCATGTCCTCTCCTCCTGAGCCATAACCTACTAATGTCTGTGTACTTCCCCACATCTCCCTCCCTTGCACTTGGGTCAGTCACACGACTCACTGTGGCCAGTGGAACATGAGCAGAAATGCCGTGTGGTACTCCTGGCAGGGCTATTTAGCACTTGGGCACCATCCCTGTGTTCTCATTCCCTCCATGAGGCCAGCACAAGACAGCAGAGAATCAAAATAGAAACATTCTAGGTCCTAGAGTCACTGCCTAGAAAAAGCCACTGGTCCTGCACTGAACTGTGATAAAAACAAACGTCTATGGGGAAAGATCACTGAGAGCTTAGAATGATCTGACACAGAAGCTAGTGCTCATTACCCCCATATACCTGCCTTCTCCACCTGTCAAGTTCCTACTGAATGCCCAAAACTCCAATTCCAATGCCACCTCTTCTGTGAGATCCAACTTTCGTGGGAAGATAAGCCACTCTGTCCTGTGACCTCTAGCAATTCACTCACGCATCCGGCATAACATTACCTCAGTCTGCGGCACATTTCTGTTTGCACGTTTGGCTCCTACATGTGTGGGTGCTTCTCTTTTTAATCCTCTATTCTCAGGGCCTTGGAAGTAGCAAACACCTGATGTTTGACTTCCTGAAGCAAAGCTCAGAGCCTCTGTGCTCATGTGACCAGCAAACCCCAAGTCAGCATTTTCTCCCCGAGTCCCAGTGTTCTTGGCATCATGCTACGTACCGTGGTTGGAGGCAAGAAAAGTAGGACACTATCACCCATGACGAGGGGTGCTTTTTATCTTTAGATCCTCTGCACCCCATTAGTTTCCATCTTTATTAAAGGACAGCTTCCACTTAAACAGCACATGGTCTTTTCAGGAACGATCAGCTAAGACATTTCTCAGAAAGCAAGATCAAAGAGGGCTTTGTAATGACGAGAGGAAAGCGGAGCAGGGCTCTCTCGTGACCCCTGTGAGTCTGGCTCCCCCCGAGCTGCCACGCTTTAGACTTGTGACCTGGCATTCTGGGATTGCACAGCTGTACTAGGGTTATTTCTGGTACGAAAAAAGCTGCAGTGAAAGCATCGCCGGCCCCTCAGGGACCCAGACATAGAGATGATAGCCTGGCCGTGCAGTCACGTCATTGCCGCTTGGCCAAACTTCCCAAACCAAAGGCACAAAACCACGCCGCTGGTCAGGGAAACAGAGCAGGGGACCTTTGCTCTTCACATCCAGGAAGCTGGCAACGGGCACTGTTAGCAGCTCCCACTCTCCCGATTCCTTTAAGGCTGTGATAGAACTCTCAGTTCCAGCCCGAGGAACTGCGCCCATAAATAAATGACGCTTGATTGTTAATGCAACGTTTTCACAGTAGTTCCCACAGACTAGCATTTTACCTGCTGCGGGTGTGGCTTTGCGGTGGACATGGGGCCACGCCATTTACTGCACAGTAAACATGAGGTCGACCAGTAGTACTGCTAGCATCCCAGCGCTCAGACAAAAACATCCACAACAAAGAGCCTGGCAAACCCAGGTGCCACACCCACAGCTGCAAGGGAGCACAGCGGGGCTTCTAGGACCTTCCCTGGTGGGACGTTCAGAGTGGAAATGAAACAGACTCTGGAGTATACTGAAGGCTGGGATTATGAGGAAGGAAGATTAGGAAACATTTTAAAAACCGGAGCACTAACTTAGCAGAAGGCAAAGGTAGAGTTTGGGAGAGGTGGGATAGTACGTTGTAATGTTCCGTGCCGCATGTGATAGATCAGAGGTACAGCAAAGGAGGGGACCCTGAAAGTCACAGCTCAATGCAGGGAATTGTTTCTGGGCGGTATTTCAAGGGTCACATACCATGAACAACGAACGCCTCCCCCTAAATCCATTCAAGGTACCAAGAGCATACGTGGAAAAGAAGAAGTTGACTGAAAATGGCACTGCTGGGCAACTTACCTTGTATGAAGATCCTGTTCCAGTAGATCTTCCCCACTTGACTGCCCCCGAGAAACACTAGGTTGGACAGGATCAGCATGGAGGTGGAACAGGACGCCAGAGCGGCGTGGAATCGGCGGCGGGCTTGCGGGGAGAGGAACTGGACCTGCGGGGAACACAGGCGATGTGTCATCCTGGTGGCGGAGAAACAGCGTTGAGGTGCCGCCGGCCCCTGTCAGGCACCTGCCCGGGACGCCCACCCTGGAGCCTGAGCGGGGCGGGACTGGGACTGCTCCCAAAACCTCTATTCCCACTGCACGTGCACTCTGGTCTAAGGAAAGAAGCGACTCGCCCCCAACTTGTTGCTTCCTCCTCCAAACGGGAACAGGCTCCCCCTGACGTGTGACACGAGCATGGATGCTAGTTCAGATTTGGCTGGAATGCCCCCACATGTTCTCTGCAAACCTACAGGTACGAGAACTCTCCCTGATGACCAGCACAGCTCCACGTCATGAGGTCAAGCTCAGGGTGATCTTCTGGGCCAGTTAACGTGACTCTGGGAAGCCACCCTGTCAGTCTCACCCACTCTTAGGAATCCCATTAAGAGGGTGCAGGAGAATCAGCACAAGCCGCCCTCCTTCCTGGAATCAGAGCTCAGGGGACAGGCCCCACTGGGAGTGAGCCTGTAGCAGGGTCACACGATGGTCGCCTGCCACAGCGCCTGAATACGCAGGAGATGGAGAAGTGGTTTCCAGCACTGATGGTAAAGAATTCTGCCCATCCATCTGAGGTCTTCACTGCACTTTTCCCTCCCCTTTTAATGTCTTCTTGGGGATTGCATAAAGCAAGCAAAGCCTTTCTTTCTTGGCACTGACCATTTTGCTGGCCTCACCGCGTGAGATCACAGCGCTGCGCCCGGAGTGTGTGAGGGTCGTCAGCACGCCTGTGGGCGCTGTCCTTCGGGCCTGCCCATGCAGCATGAGAACCAGGTGCAGTGCAAAGAACCAGGTGCAGTGCAAAGACAGGGAAAAAAGACAGAGCAAAGGGTCTAGAGATCATTTCTGAATATCCTTCTGAAACCTACACATCTCTGGGGTCACGTGCATCCTGATTTCAGCTGTGCTCCAATTATAAATAGGAATCTGGGAACGCCTGGGTGGCTCAGTCGGTTAAGCACCCAACTCTTGATTTTGGCTCAGGTCATGATCTCAGGGTTGTGAGATCCAGCCATGCATTAGGCTCCACACTCAGTGGGGGGTCTGCTTGGATTTTCTGTCTCTCTCTGCCCTTCCCCTCCCAGCTCTCTCTCTCTCAAATAAATAAATAAATCTTAAAAAAAAAAAAATAGAAATGTGAATTACCCAAATTCCTAATGGGCAAAAAGGATTAAGCTAGAGAGTGTCTCCAGCAGGGGGTTTACTTAGTTCTGAGTACCCTGCTATGGATCATCTGGGGCTACTGTATAAGCCTTGGTCAGTGTCCTCTGGAAACCTAGAGAAATGAATTTCTGACCCCCTCTCCTTTTTCTCTCCTGCCAGTCCCAGCTTCTATTCTATATGCTCAGATACCACTGCTACCATATACCTCCCCATCCATGGCATTCTCCTCCAGCATCACCTTGGAGCATGGTTTTACTGCCACCATATATGAAAGTGTGGCCTTCTCATGGATAAGCTGTGTGGTAGGCACTGCCTGAGTCATCTGCTTGGACATGATTGTTCTAGAAAGCTCTCAGATGATGCTGACATGTCCCTGGTTAGAGGCTGCCCAGACAAGATGACCTCTAGTCTCTCCCTTGTTCTAAAAGAGGCCACAAGCACGTACAGGGGATACTATCAAGCGAGACCAGATAAGAGATAACACACAGTATAAAAACTGGTAATGAAAGAGAAATGGGGACGAAGCAGGCTTGTAACTCAGTACTCTTCACCTCTGAGAATAAGGAGACATTAATCTACTGGTTTCCGCATTTTAGAGCAGGAGAAGATATTTTCTGGGTATTACTGACTCAGTTAGCAGTAACTGGGGAGACAAGGTGAGAGGAAGCAGGGAGACAGGGGAAAAATCCAGAATAATAAATCATAAAATATAAATTGCTGTAATTGGCATAAATATGTCCAAATAATTCTCTCTAGGTATAGGACCATTGATAACATGTTTGATTTCTAAGGGACCCGGTGAATCAGATGTTCTACCACTTCTGTTCTAACCTCATCCGTGTCCTCCAACCTTACATCCTGTTAGGGGAATTCAAAGGCCCCATGCAATCTTTTCCATATTAATGTCAGTGATAGAGAATACACATAGCTTGGTTAAGCTCAGAGCAGTTTTCTTTCTACAGGAAATGATTACAATTATTAAATAATCGACTGAGAGATATCGAGAGAGGAAAACACTCTTTGCATTGGACTTCTAAGCAGGGCTGTGGCGCCAGGTGACCTGGTTTGGGGCAAGGGCCAGGCTAGTTGGAGGCAGAGCTGAGGGGCAAGGGGCAGAATAAGGGAGGAGACGAAGGGGAGAGAGTGCTTGAGACACAGGGCTTCTCTTTCCAGCACCTGAAGCCCTAGTTCCAACGGGTCTTCCTTTGCTTCTGTGATTACTTGGCTACATGATTCAATAAATTCCTATTTCTGCTTAGGAAAAGAAAAGTCAAAATAATAGCAAATATGAAGGAGCCTCTGCTCTCAGAGACAAGGGAGGACATCTAAAATCAGAAATGAAGGGCTACAATTCAATTTTTATAAAGAGTTAATTTTGTAAAAACTAAGCAAGAACATTAAAGGTGTGGGCTGTTGGAATCAATGAACTAGAAAGATATAAAGGAGAAATCAAGATGCTCACAGGCAGTTCTTGATTACCCCCCAGGGTGAGGAGGTGGGGGACAAAGTAGGTGATGATAAAGAAAATCCAAAAACCTGATTTAACTAATAGCCCCATTCTCTGAACTGACAAAATTAGCCTTGCCAACAAGCAGCAAACTTGACTGAGCATTACTTCTCTTCATTGTGTATCAGTGGGAGAGCAGAATGATAGGCGACCAGGAGCAAAAAGGGGGCCTGTGTGGATAACCCATGATTAATATTAATAGCAAAGGAGATACAAATCTCAGCTATAATTCATCTCTCCTCTTTGGATTCCCCGGATGCACTATAGATGGTGACGGTTTTTTTTTAAAGATTTTATTTATTTATTTGAGAGAAAGAGAGAGAGACAGAGAAACAGCATGAGAGGGGAGAGGGTCAGAGGGAGATGTGGGACTCGATCCCAGGACCCCGGGATCATGACCTGAGCTGAAGGCAGTTGCTTAACCAACTGAGCCACCCAGGCGCCCTAGATGCTGACAGTTTTGACACTGAGGTTCTCTCTCTACCTTGGGAACCATCTGGCCTCAGCCACTGGTTTATACTCTAAATGTAGGTTCCATACTTAGGGGTCCTAGGAAGGAAAAAGTCACATGGGCAAGGGGAGATCCATCAATAAATACAACTTTCTGAATGTCTAGGGACATAGGGCCAAGGTTCCCACTTTAAACTCTTGATTTCTTTTATACACTCTCCTCTGATATCCTATAGCAATTGTTGTCATCACTCTTGTGGTCCTTCACATCTAGGATACAGGCTGTCTGTCCATGTGCAGGGACCATGCCTCATATGTTAGTCATGGCTGAGGTGCTTAAGAACCCCCTTGGTAGAAAAACTTATGTGAGGGACTATGAACCAAATGGGGAAATAAGTCAGCGTACAATGAAGAGTCATCAGGTATAAAAATAAGAATTGCCAATTGATCAGATAAGGCAGTGATCGGTAAACAGAATTTGATTTTAACACAAATATAACAGAATAAAAACGAACTCTGGTCTGGTCATGGTCCCTTCCCAGAAGATAGATGAAGTGATGGCAATCCAATATCCTGGCAGCAAGAACCTGGGAAGGGCATGGGCCCCAGGGGATGTTTAGAACTTGCTGAGCACTTCAGTTGTCTCAAGGACATCAAAATTATGGCATTTGATAGGCAGGGTCCAGGGATAGCAAACATACTGCAATGTATGAGATGGAACCGTCCTGTCCAGAATGTCAATAGTGTCTCTTGAGCGTGGGTGAAATGTTTTCTTCTATATTCATTATAAAGCCAACTTCCCTCCTGGCCTATGGGTGCACAGCACCTCCCTTCCTCCCTCATTAGGAGCAATGCCAAAAATGTGCCCCCTTTTCCCCGGGGCCCAGAGAAAGGCATCCTAGGGCAGGGAAAGTGCTCTTTACAGTGCCCCACTGTGGCCCCCCAGCCCACCCACTACCCCCGGGGCATCAAGCTTGAGAGAGGAGCCTCCTGTGCTTCCAACCACAGATGAGCATGGTGTAGCACCAGTTCCAAGGCTCCTCTCCCTCACACCCCTCAGACAGACCCAGAGGAAGGAGGAAGAATGGGATGCGGAGCAGGTCAGAAAGTATCGCTTCCTACGCTGGGTGACCAGTTCTCCCTCAGGGACTCTGACTTCAATGAAAGGTTGGGGGGGGTGGTTCTCTCCATGTTAATGTTGCTATAACCCACTCTTCAGGCCCAAGAGAAGGTACTTGATTTTGGGCCTCGATACAGCAAGCCCCTTAGAACACCTGGAAGGTCAGGACCAGGGTAGACCTCTAATTCCTGTTTGAGTTCGGGGTCTCTGATGGAAAAAAGAAGAGGTGGGGTGTGGAAATACTGTAGAAGGACAGTCTAGCAGTGCTTTAAACTTCTCTCTGAGACACTGGCTTCCAAAGGCGAGGAACTAACCCAAACAAAGTAAACCTCAGGGCAGAACAAAACTGTCAAACTAGTTTGCATTTCCTGCTGTGAGAGGTCAGCTCCTGTGTTTATTCTTATCTCTCTGGAAACCCCTCTCTCTTTTCCAGTCAGCATCCTGTCCCTGGAAATCACAGGACTTGGGCTGGGGCAAGCAAGCTGGGTGCTGGGGTGGTGTGGTCCATGGAATCTGGGTCAGAAGTTACTCTCAGAACGTCTGCGAGGGTGGGAAGCAGATGGCGTGGTGGGGCTGCAGCGGCTGTGTGAGGTGGGGCCCACACTCGTCCACACAGGGACTGCATGTGGGGCCGAGCTGGGAGGAGGGGACAGGCTGAGCATCTGGGGGAGCAGATGGGCCGGAGGAATGGCTGCTGGAGACTGAC